GTGACATCATGTTGGCAGCTTGAAATTGGACATGATAGAGTATTTTTTTATTTTTTTTTTATTTTTTTAATAATAAATCTTTATTGCCGAAACCGGTTTGGCTCAGTGGTAGAGCGTCGGTCTGTGGACTTAAAGGTCCCGGGTTCGATTCCGGTAAAGGGCATGTACAGCTGGTCGATGTTTCTCTCATTGACGTTACTAGCTCTCTATCTCTCTCCCTTCCTCTCTGTAAAAAATCAATAAAATATATTTTTTTAAAATAAATCTTTATTGTTCAGATTATTACAGGTGTTCCTCTTTTCCCACCACCACCCATAGCTCTCCTCCACCTGATTCGCCACCCCATGCTGATAGAGTATTTACAGCATGGATATCAACAAATCCCTCAACCCAAGATTTGTCCCCAGGGAACCAGTTATTAAACATTTACCAGCACGTCACTGATTACAGTGCCATTTTTAGGTCTCCTTTCCCCCCAACATTTTCAATAGGAAGTTAGAACTGGCATAAAACAGCATTCAAACTAGTCTGCTGATGAAAGCAAAAGATAAAAGAATTTCAAAAATTAGTATTTCTAATTAGTATTTCTAACAGCAAAATGTTCTTCATAGGAAGCTTTTATTTAGGATGAGAATCCTTTTTTTAAGGATTTAGGAAGAAAAGCCAGCATTAAAAACAATTATTAGGTAGCCTGGCCAGTGTGGTTCAGTGGTTGGGCATTAACCTATGAATCAAGAGGTCATGGTTCAAAGATTTCCTTATAACGTAACATTAGGATGTTTTGGAACATAAATTCACTTTTGAAATTGCCTATGTTTTTGGATATAAAGTCTGCCAAAAATACTCCTCATTTTGAGAATCATGACTGAATTATGATTAGGAAAGGGCAATAAATAAAAATATTTAATAGTATATATACTAAGGAAGTTATTATTGAAGAGTACATTTTAAGCATCAGGAAATTATGTCCTATTAGAGAATAATAGTATGATAGATAATAATTTGTCATTCAGTATTCATTTTAAAAACTGAATATCTGACATTATTCACAGTAGTCAAAAAGTAGAAAAAAACATAATTGTCTATCCAAGGATGAGTAGATAAACAAAATGTGGCATATACATACAATAGAATATTATTAATATTCAGCTATAAAAAATGGTGTATCAGTACATGCTACAACTTGGATGGACCTTGAAAACATTATGCTAAGTGAAAGAAGTCAGTCACAAAAGTCCACATATTATATAATTACATTTACATGAAAGTCCAGAATAGGGATTTCTATAGATTCATAAAGTCATAGAATTGGTGGAAAAGTGGGAGTATAGATGAGTGATAACAATAAGGGAAGAGGGCTTCTTTTTAGAGTGATAAAAATGTTCTAAAATTGACAATGGTGATAATAGTATAGCTCTGTGAGCTATTATATAGGTGAATTGCATGGTGTCTGGATTGCATTTCAGTAAAGCTGTTTTGTTTTTAAAAAACTTCATATAGTACCTATGGTTAAAAATTGAGTGTTAGTTGTTCTCTGAGAAGTAACCCATTAGTAATTATTCTCTTTTTTTGGAGGCTAATGGAAAAATACCAGTAAAATCTTCTAAAGTAAATCGGAAGAGATGTCAACTAGAATCTGAAAAAACAGTAAGTCTTATGATAATACATAGGTTGAATAAAAGTATCAGAATATCATTATTATGGATTAAATTGAAGATGACAACTATAATATCCCTTGATATACCTCAGAGCTCTGATATCCAAATCATTTAAAAATATATTTGGTTCTGAAAATGGAATAAGTTTAAAATAAGACACAGTATGTTGGTATATTAATTTTCTCCATGTAAATATATAATGTATGATTCCATGAATGATTTGAAGTAGCTGGAGGAATTTATAAAATAAAATCAGGAAAATATGAGAATGAGAAAATGAGAGTACAAAAATATTCAAGCTGTTCTATCTAATAAAGAGGAGGGAATATGCTAGTTGGCCCTCACACGGTCACAAAGATGGCAGTGCCCCTAGCCAATAAGGAGGAAATGTGCTAATTGACTGTCCCACCTTCAAAAATAGTGGCACCCACAGCCAATAAGGAGGGAATGTGCTAATTGATGTTCCCGCCCTCAGAGATGGCGGCACCCACAGCCAATAAGAAGGGAATATGCTAATTGACTGTCCACCCTCGAAGATAGCAGCACCTAGTCCCTTCAGCCCCACCGGGGTGGCAGGTGTGCAGCAAGGCCGGGCCTGCCCCCAGGCAGGTCCAGCCGCTCTGTGCACCTGCCTCCAGAGTCCCGCAGACCCCTCATCCCCCAAGCTGTCCAGGGCGGGCCTGAGGCGCAGGTAACCAGGACAGGCTGTCAGCGGTGGCAGCAGCAGAGGTGTGATGGGGCATCACCTTCCCCTGATCGCCGGGTCACTTCCTGCCCCCGAGGGCTCCTGGACTGTGAAAGGGGGCAGACCGGGCTGAGGGACCGCCCCCCCCCTCCAGTGCATGAATTTTCATGCACCGGGCCTCTAGTTTTATTTATATAAAACTAAAATTGGGTCACAAATTTGAACTTTCTAAGATCAAAACTAAAGCAGAAATATAAATTGCCAAATCCACGTGTTCCTTAAAAATATGGTATTTCTGCTGAAACCGTTTTTTCTCAGTGGTTAGAGCGTCAGCCTGCAGACTGAAAGGTCCCAGGTTCGATTCCAGTCAAGGGCATCTACCTTGGTTGCGGGCACATCCCCAGTAGGCAGTGTGGAAGAGGCAGCTAAGTGTTTCTCTCTCATTGATGTTTCTAACTCTATCCCTCTCTCTTCCTCTCTGTAAAAAATCAAAAATATATTTTAAAAAAGTTTACATATCTTAAGAGGGGAATGGAATAACTTGACATTTCACTAGATAATATATTAGATTCTTTCATTTTCCCCCAATGTATTAAGCCTTGATTTTTCTCCCTGCAAAATCATAATTCAATTTGTATCATTTGTAAGTTGCTTCTAGAAAAAAATTGAAGTTCAGTAATTCAGGGAATCTAGTTAGGAATTTTTCTAGTTTGTCATCCAAGTCATTCAAAAGTGTGCATTGAATGTCTACTATTATTAGGCACTGCTAAGTACCAGGGATATAAAAACAAAACATGATTTAAATCTTACATTGTGCCTAGATAGAATGTTTATCTGCAGCTCATTTTATAATCCATTTTCCCTCTCTATCCCCCAAAATATTTTTACTATTTTGAAAGCATAATCTTAACTCTATTTACCTACTCCAACAACCCTTATAATTTGCAAATATGTACTTTTCAGCAGCCATCAGAAGATTTAAATATGTCAATAACAAAATTTACCTTACTTTTAAAGAACCCAGGTAACCTACTTTAGGAGGACAGAGATAGGTATAATTTTTTAAAAAGAAGAAAGAAACTCAGAAACATAAAAATATATAAAATTAAAGACATTTAAACTGTAAAATACCGGTTCTTACTAGTTGCTTTTTTTTAACAGGTTCTTCATCACATTGACTCTGCTAGTCAAGAGTCAGTGCAAAAAAAAAGAAAGTTTAGTGAACCAAAGGAAGATATATAAAAATTATTTTTCTTCTGCATGATTGTAAAGTTCATCTCTACATTTAAAGGACACTATATTACTATTTTAAGGTGTGTTTACCCTATCTCTGGAAATTTATATGTAGTCTTAAGCAGTTAGTACACTAAAATGAATTCTTAGCTATCAAATTGTGATCCTTAAACTTACCTAAGACAAATCCAGTAGAACTTTTTAATAAAACCAAAAGAACCATTGTCATAATTGATTCTGTTTATTATCTACTCAATATTGATCTATCTTCCATTTTGGTGAACACTTTCTTTAAACAAACATTAATTTTTTAAGGTCCTCTAAAGCCATTTTGAAACAAATAATGTTTATTTTGCTGTTATATTTTGGAAGAAATTAACTTTTTACTTATGTTAAAACTATACCATTTAACTGGTTTTGTTTGCAACTGGTTTTGTTATTAAAACAATGCTCTTCAGTACTTGGATATAGTGTATTACCATGATAATATATAATGTATAATTGAATATTGGTACTTTATCTTTTAAAAAAAATTTTTACTATAAGACAAAATAACTGATTTTAAAAGTTTGGCATTTTGCAGAGCATAAATAAAATATTGTTAAGCATCTATATTCTTTCATGGCTTCCAATTTTTATATAATTAGCATGTTTAGGCACCAATTTCGAGATCATTTTGGTAGATATTACTTTGCAAAAGTTGAGCACACTTTCTAGAATTTTTGAGTGGTGGTGTGACAGACACTGTGCCCTCAGTGAGAAACCCTGGGCATGGTTCCAGCCTTGACCATTTCCTTTGCTTTAGAAACAGAAGACTTAAAACTTGGTCTGCCTCTTGCAGTTTCAGCAGACATATTCTAAAAACTTACATTATTCATAGGTTTACAGGAACAAGCATTAAATAGAGAATTTAGAAGTGTACCCATCCTGTTTAATGTAAACCAAATAAAGGTCCACAAACTGAGTCACATCAGGCTTTTTTGGAACAGGATAATTAAGAATAAGCTAATTGTCAAATGCAACCAATTTTTAAATGTTTATTTATTATTAGCTTTATTGTATCCCAACACATTTCACGTCATTATAGTAGTATACACTGTTACACTGAGACTGACCAACAGAAACCTCTGTCCCTCGGCAGCTGGCGCTGGCTTACTTAACATTTGGATTGGCCGGTTCGATGGGGTTTGGGAGTGCAGGCCTCTCCTCTATTCCACCGAGGTTCCTTCATTGGATTGACCAGCTGTCAGGTTGAACCCAAACCTGCCTCCTTTTAGTGGTGTTTGTCTGGATCGCAACACAATAGCGGGGTGGCGGGGTGGGGGTGAGAGCCTCCCCTTGTAAACTCCGATTGGCTGGACTTTACCAGGGTGGTTTCTGATTGGTCCAATGAAGAAACACCAAGGTAGGTTGCCTAGTGATCCTGAGGAAGCTGATGTGTTATTCCTTTTCTGCAGCGAAGGATCAGGAAGTTTGTGCTCTTTCCTTGGCTGGGAAGTTTTTCACCTACTAGGACAAGGGTAGGGGATTGGGGTGGAGGACAGGTGTTTTCCTAAAGTAGAGTGCAAGCTGCAGCCTCTCTCGGGCCGTAACCCAGGAGAAACGTCAGGTAAGCAACCGGGGAAATGCATTTCGTAACGTAAAAAAAAAATAACCAAAAAACCTCCAAATTTTTTATTTTATGGGGAAAGGGTGCTTTTGACTTATTTAATTTTTTTGCCTTAAAAAAAATAGGATTGTTAACTAGGAAATGTCCAGGGGGAGGGGAGATTCATTTCTCAAAGAAAATCCCTCCCCTTTTCTCCCCCTCCCCCCAAGATTTAAAGTTTCTTGGACTGTGTTAGGAAATAAGCCCTATTCACAGTGGCAGATAAGTTTAATGCCCTTAAGCAATTTATTTATTTCATGGTTCTCTTCGTCCTTCACTCTTCTTTTCACCTCCTACCAAGAATTATATTTGAAATATAATTCTGTACAGTCTTTTTTTAAGTCACTTAAAATTTGTATTTCTATTTTAAATGTTCACATGCATTTCTGAGTATTCGTTTTAATCAGTATATATTTATTGAGCAGTTACAACGTTAAAGACCTTGTGCTAGTTGCTATGGAGAATAAAAAAAAAACTAAGAAGACAATATCTCTGCCCTCAAGAAGTTTACAGTTGAGAGACAGCCAGACTATAATAAATACTTTAAAGTAAGTAAGTATAAATAAAGTTTTGAAAGTACAGCTGAGGGAGAGACCAATTCTGACCATGGGACATGGGTAATGGAGGAGACTCACTTAAGCCTCAATAGACCTTTTAAGAATGAGTAGAATTAAAGAGTAGGGGGGAAAGGAATGTACAGAGGATAAAAGGTGAAAGACATGGTATGTGTTTGAGAACTTGTTCATAGTATGGAATTGGAAGTAATGGGAAATAATTGAGAAATGATAGAATGGGATTCAGTCACAGAGGTTCCTGAATGCACTCTTTTTTCTTTTTTTCTTTTTTTCTTCTTTAATCCTCTCTCAAGGATATGTTTTACTGATTTCAGAGAGAGGGGGAAGGAAGAGAGAGAAAGAGAGAAACATCAATGGTCTCCTTTAAGTGCTCCCACTGGGGATGGAACCTGCAACCTTTCTGTGCATAGAAGGACACTCCAACCAACTTAAGCCTCACTGGCCAGGGCTTGAATGCATTCTTTTGATGTTGCAAAATATATTCTTTTAAACAATTGCTGATAAAAAAATTTATTGTTTATCATCTTAATAACTGGCATTTAGGTTTATCTCAAAGTGAGTTAACTTAAACTTGATTACAGATGACAGTGCAATTTCTCTTGACTAGATTTTAAAACAAATATAGTGCTTGGTATAAAAGGGTACATGTTTTGACTTTTTTTTTAAGGAATTTGCTAATATTTTAACATTCTCTTGCCAGTATTTTTGTTTGTTTGTTTGTTTGTAGCTGTTTCGTTTGCGAGATGGATAGAGATGAAAGTTTTCTGGAATGACCACACATGATCTTCTGAGTGTTATTCTCTAAAGTAGTGATCTCCTAAGTGAGTTCATGATCTGAGTCATTACTGTTTGGGAAGAAAATATAAGAACATCTATTTCTATTTAGTTTTCTTTAATTTTTTACTTTTTCGTTTTTGTGTATGTTATATAACATGCCACTGGATGTTTATAGAAGTTTTATATAAATTATATGCATATTTGGACTGAATGCTCACAATTTTTTGCTGTCCCATATTATTTAACTTGGGGAGGATCCATTTCGTGAAAGAGGAGTCACAATGATAGACAGTCACTCCTAGGTTATATATTATGCACAAGAAATCAACAGGTTTAAAAGATGATTATTCCTACTGGTCTTTAAAATTACTGATTTTGATTTCTTGCCAGTGCCTTCTTTGTATTTAGGTTAGGTACTTTGGAAGATATTGAATTATGTTACCCACTTAATTTTTCTGATCATTACTCTTTCTTTCTCTAAGTTATAAATATTTCTTATAGACATTTTGGTATGCATGTATGAGTATTTATATGTATTTATTTACATAAGCACACTATAAGTATTTTTCATCACCCTTCCAGAAACAGTTCAGAATGACCACTTTAACTCACCGTGCCCGTCGTATGGAAGTAGGCAAGAACTCTGAAAAGAAGGCAGAAAGTGAGGAAGATACTAATCAAGACAGAAGTTCAGACAACGAAGACTCTGGAGATTCTAAGGATATTCGCCTCACCCTTATGGAAGAAGTATTGCTCCTGGGACTAAAAGATAAAGAGGTAATGTAGTTGGGTCAGCTGGGTCATTGCCAAGGCTTAAATACTGAAATGTTTTTAGGAAGTAATAGAATAGAATATTTGTATTAATGTTAAGTTGGCCTTAGAATTACGCTGTGGACATTTAGTGGGGAATGAGAAATTTTGGAGGGTAGCTGATACTTGGAGGGTAAAATCCAGAAGTGCACTTACTTGAAATGTAATTTAATATCAAAATTATTCCAAAATTTTAGAGGATACAAGAGAAGATATAACACAGTGTAAAGTTTTTGTACTTACAGTTTCCCAAGTGATAGTGATACTGAAATATCCTCTTATTAAATTAAGAAAGAAGGCCCAGCCCTAGCCCGGTGGCTCAGTTGGAGCACTGTTCCCTGCACCAAAAGGTTGCAGGTTCGATTCCTATCAAGGCACATAACTAAGTTTTGGGTTTGATCCCCAGTCGGGGTTCCTGCAGGAGGTGGCTACTGATGTTTCTCTCTCACTTTGATGTTTTTCTCTCTCTTTCTACCTTTGTCTTTCTCTCTCCTTTCCTCTCTCCATCCCCTCAGGTGAGGATTTAAAAAAAAAAAAGGTCAAATTGCCTGAAACCGGTTTGGCTCAGTGGATAGAGCATTAGCATGTGGACTGAAAGGTCCCAGGTTCAATTCCGGTCAAGGGCATGTACCTTGGTTGCAGGCACATCCCCAATAGGGAATGTACAGGAAGCAGCTGATCAATGATTCTCTCTCATCGATGTTTCTAACAATCTATCCCTCTCCCTTCCTCTCTGTAAAAAATCAATAAAATATATTTTTTAAAAATAAAATAAAATAAAAGGTCAAATGAAAAAGCAAAACTGATTCACTAAAAGAATGTCAGAGTAAGTCTGAAGATTAGATGGTATAAATACGGTTCTGAAAGAGGAAACATTCACTGACTTAGAAGCATAGCATATTAGAACTAGTTTTAGTTTTGAATAGAAATTATTAATTTCCTGCTGACCCTAAATACTGGATTTTTGCTTTTGTCCTGTAGAGAAACTGCCTTTGGACTTGTCTTTGTTTATCTAAATTTATAATAGTTGATATAAGCTTAGGGAAGTAGAATTAAAAAATAAAGGAGCTCATTTAGAGCTATAATCATAGTGGGTACTCAACATATTGGTGAGATACTGTACAAAGATGGGCAAATAAAAATTACCTTTCTAATTGTTCTAATTTCATTTTTTAATATGCTAAATTAAGTTTTTAGCTTTCAGTTGTCTCAGGAAGACTAAAAAAGAATAAATCCTTAAGTGCAAATAAACAGAAGAGGTCAAACCTTTGGATATATTAAAGTAGTAGAAGTAGTTTTCCAAAAGGCCAGTTGCATAACTGTCTCTAAAAATATTACATTGATTTCCAGTTCTCATTTTCTTTTCATTTCCCAAAGTAGATTTATTTAATCAATATTTAGTGTGATTGGGGACACCAATTATGTACTTAGTGTTATGCAAATACTAAAGTAAATATAAAATAATATAAATGAAAAAATAAATAAATAAATAAAATAGTCTAAATGTTCCCTGCCTCCAAGAAATTTATATTCTAACTGGAGATAAAAGTTAACCCAAAGGATCATCAACAGTAAAATGGATAAAAATTGTATATCTACACTAATAAAAGAGAAAGATGCAAATTGACTGTACCTTCACAATGCCCACCAGCCAATCAGGAGTGGGCATGCAAATTAACCCAACTAAGATTTGGGGGGGTGCGGGCGGGGAACAGGATGCAGGTGTTCTGCACAGCCCCAGCTGCTCTGGGCCTCTGTGCAGCATGGGAAGGTGGAAAGGCAGCTCTGGGCCAGAGCAAAGGCGGTGCCAGCAGCCAGTGGAGGGAAGGCCCGTTTTTGCACAAATCTTCATGCATCAGGCCTCTAGTTTATTTAATTAAGTGTAAGTATAGCTCTAACTAGTTTGGCTCAGTGGATAGAGCCTCAACCTGTGGACTGAAGGGTCCCAGCTTCAATCCCAGTCAAGGGCACATGTCTGTTTATAGGTTCAATCCCCAGTGTGGGGCAGGCAGGAGGCAGCCAATCAATGGTTCTCTTTCATCATTGATGTTTCTATCTCTCTCTCTCTCCCTCTCCCTTCCTCTCTAAAATCAATAAAAATATATTAAATGAATGAGTATATTTTTAGAACGAAAATGAACATTTTTACAAAATATGTATAATTCTCATATAATGTTCAGTAAAGGAATCTAACCACAAAATATCACATACTATATGAATCTATATATAAAAAAAACTAGTATTTGGGGTTGTATGTTAGAGATGGTAAAACTATAAAGAACAGCAGGAAGGGGTTACCATCGTTGTTAAGAGAATGGTTACATTTTTGTGGGAGGGGAGAGGAGGTTTTAGTCATTAGAAAAGCGAATGAGGGGGTTTTCTGGGTACTAGTAGTTTTCCATGTCTGTTCTTGTGGGATATTTCATGGATATTGACTTAGGGATAATTCATTGTTATCTTTTGTGTACTCCTGTGTGTGCATTATATTTCACAATTCAAAAGATTTTTAAAGAAAAACAACAAGTCTTTCCATGTTAGAACAATAAAAGCCGAGGGAGTTGAAGGGAAGAGAGATCATCATGTGTTGGAATAATCTGGGGAATAATAGAAGGGAGTAAAACAAGCTGGGTCTTTAAGAATGGGTAAGATTAATAGAAATGGCCAAAACCAGTTTGGCTCAGTGGATAGAGCATTGGCCTGCAGACTGAAGGGTCCCAGGTTCGATTCCAGTCAAGGACATGTATCTGGGTTTCGGGCACATCCCCAGTGGGGGGTACGCAGGAGGTGGCTGATAGATGATTCTCTCTCATTGATGTTTCTAACTATCTATCCCTCTCCCTTCCTCTCTGTAAAAAATCAATAATATATATATATATATATATATATATATATATATATATACACACACACATATATATATATATATATATATATATATATATATATATATATATTTTAAAAAAGATTAATAGAAATGGTGAGAAGGGAATACATTGTGGATGAGGGGAATATAAGCAAAGGTATCATGAACTTGATGAGTTTGGAGTTTACTGAGTAACCAATATGACTGAAGTGGGCTCTGTTCTTGAAGAACAATGAGAATCAAAATTGACATACTAGATTCAGAGTACGGAGGATTTTGAGTTCTAAACAGAGACATTTAGGCTCTTTCCTTTAAGCAAAAGAGCAAAGTTCATTTCATTGTTGTGTCCAAATTGAGGACTTAGTGATTATTGTTGCTCTATTTTGTTTCTGAGTTTATGTTTTACTGTGTATTTTTTCTTGTTTTACATTGTTTGAGTTTGTGACATGTCAAAGAAAAATCCTAAATGTTAAACTTTGTATTCCAAAGTCCCAAAATTAACTTTTGCTGAAGATTTCCATTAGACTCTGTTTCTAAATCAATACTATAATTTAAAAAAATTGCATCTCTCTCAAAAGCATGTAAGTGGAAGATAATACAAAAAGATTAATACTTCAAGAATTGTAGCCGAAGCCGGTTTGGCTCAGTGGTAGAGCGTCGGTCTGCGGACTGAAAGGTCCCAGGTTCGATTCCGGTCAAGGGCATGTACATTGGTTGCGGGAACATCCCCGGTAGGGGTTGTGCAAGAGGCAGCTGGTTGATGTTTCTCTCTCATCGACGTTTCTAGCTCTCTATCTATCTCCCTTCCTCTCTGTAAAAAATTAATAAAAATATATTTTAAAAAAAAAGAATTGTAGCCTGCCGAAGCCGGTTTGGCTCAGTGGTGGAGCATCAGCGTCGGTCTGTGGACTGAAAGGTCCCAGGTTCGATTCCGGTCAAGGGCATGTACATTGGTTGCGGGCACATCCCCAGTAGGGGGTGGGCAGGAGGCAGCTGGGCGATGTTTCTCTCTCATCAACATTTCTAGCTCTCTATCTCTCCCCCTTTCTCTCTGTAAAAAAATCAATAAAATATATTAAAAAAAAAAAAAAAGAATTGTAGGCCTAGAAAGGAATGAGAGTAGGCCATACAGTCAAATTGCTTGTCAAATATTACTGTCATTCCTTTTTTTTCTTTTTTTAAAGAAATATATTTTATTGATTTTTAACAGAGAGGAAGGGAGAGGGATACAGAGTTAGAAACATCGATGAGAGAGAATCATCGATCAGCTGCCTCCTGCACACCCTCTACTGGGGGATGTGCCCGCAACCAAAGTACATGCCCTTGACCGGAATCGAACCTGGGGCCTTTCAGTCCACAGGCTGACCCTCTATCCACTGAGCCAAACCTGTCTCGGCACTGTCATTCCTTTCTTCAGATTCTTCTGAGTAGTGGCCACAGACTGGTTTTAAAATATTAAGCTTCATTGTCTTTGAAAATAATCAGGAAATTTAAATATATGTTGAAGAATCTAACATAAGTACACTTAAAATTAAATGATATCTCAGTTCCATAACACTGACCTCAACTGAGAAAATTAAACTTGAGTCCTAGCCTGACTAAAACAAAATAAATTTCCTGTTATAGCCTGTGATAAGAATTTTGCTATAGATATTATTGATTGATATCATTATTGACAAATAATGTTTTAATTAAATTGCTAGTATATTCAAAACTTCCCTTTATGAGAATCTTTATTTTTAAATTACCTGTAAGAAGAGTGAGCCTATTAATGCTTTTGATGGTAATATTTTTAGTTTATGGATAATATTTTTTTAACCTTTTTCCCTATTTTGCAAAGTTTTCTCCTAGTATTGCCATGTATTGAATACTTACTATGCACTGGGACATAAAAGCTTTTCATCATGCCCAAGTTGTGGGCTCAATCCCCAGTAGGGGGTGTGCAGAAGGCAGCTGATCAATGATTCTCTCATCATTGATGTTTCTATCTCTCTCCCTCTCCCTTCCTCTTTGAAATCAACATAAATATATATATATATGGCTAATATGTGTTCACCATCTGACTGGTCACTATGACATGCACTGACCACCAGGAAGTAGACAC